GGGGGCGCGCGGGGACCTCTAGGCAAGCATCCCGGCTGGCTCTGGCTGGGGTGCGGTCTTCGTTCAGGCGCGACCCTCACAGAAAAGGCAGCCAAGAGTAGAGGAGCACGCGGCGCTCCGGTGAAGCCAGGGAGGCAGGGGCCTCTGCCCCGGGTGGGGAGATCAGTCCCTAAGGCTAAGGCGCAGCGGAGAGGGCACAGAGCCTGGGGGCTCGTGGAGGGCGCCACCACTATATAGCAGTGGCCCCCAGCCTTTGGGCTGTCCCCCACTCGAAGTCTTCATTCCTGTACCTTTGGCCTCAGAGTCAGGGAGGGGCCCTGGGTGGACAGCTGGTGCCTCTAAGGATGCCACTAGGGTGGGACTCTTAGGAACTGCTGCCAGCTGCCAGGGCCCCTTTGGAAGAGGCCCTCCTACTTTCCCTGCCCACCCTCTCCCTCAGCCCCATTGGCTCCTTTTTAGTTCCTTTGGGCAGTGGTAGGCACAACTGGCAAGATGGGGGGGGTCTCCAATTTGGCACCAGAATATCACAGTCCGCTGGTGGCGACTGCTCACGGACCTTTCCCAACTGCCAGTCCTCCTGGCTGACAAGGAGGGTGGGCCAGCGCCGCTGGACGAGGCCCTGGATGAGGCTGTGCCGGAGTACCAGGCACCAGGGAAGAAGACCGTGCTGGAGATTCAGCAGCTGGACCCAGAGGATGAAAGCCTGGCCAAGTACAAGCAGGCGCTGCTGGGGCCCCTGCCACCTCTCGTAGGTATGGCTGGGCCTGGGCCTGGAGGGCAGTGAGCAGGTGGAGGGAAGGGGCAGGCTGGGCAGACCAGGCAGGGCATCCTGTGGACGCCATTTCTCCTCAGACCCAAGCCTGCCCAACGTGCAAGTGACCAGGCTGACGCTGATGTCTGAGCAGGCGCCAGGGCCCATCACCATGGACCTCACAGGTAGCTCTCCTCTGCAGCCCACGTGCCATCTTTGGAGTGGAGACCTCTTGGGACCCCCACGCCTATCCCGAGCCCTCGGGCCCATCACCATGGGCCTCATGGGCACCACTCCCCGTGTGGGTGCTGCTGGGCTGGGTCTCAGCCCATCCCGAATTCACACCGGCCCCTTTTTTTTCCATACCAGGGGACCTGGCTGCGCTGAAAAACCAGGTGTTTGTCCTGAAGGAAGGTGTTGACTACCAAGTGAAGGTTACCTTCAAGGTAAAGGCAGCTTCAAGGTGGGGGTGGCAACCAGCCATAGCCCAGTCCCCCAGAGGAGCCCCTTAACACCCTCCATCCCCCAGGTCAACAAGGAGATTGTCAGTGGTCTCAAGTGTCTGCACCACACCTACTGCCGGGGCCTGCGCGGTGAGGGCAGTGTGGAGGGCAGCCTGGGGGTTGGGGGGGTGGCAGGCAGAGGGTAGCCCCTGACACCCTCCCCTCCCCCAGTGGACAAGGCCGTCTACATGGTGGGCAGTTATGGCCCCAGAGCCCAGGAGTACGAGTTTGTGACGCCGGTGGAGGAGGCACCGAGGGGCATGCTGGTGCGGGGCCCCTATGTCGTCAGGTCCCTCTTCACCGATGACGACAGGACCAACCACCTGTCCTGGGAGTGGGGCCTCCACATCTGCCAGGACTGGAAGGACTGACCCCCTCTTGGGGCTCTTGTCCCCCACCTGTCAGCTGCGCACAGGGTCCCCACGCATTCCCCACCCCCTTGGTCAGTGACCCCCCTCAAGTCCCCCTACCTGGCTCTGTGCCCTGACTCCCATTAAAGGTCGCCCTGCCTTGCTGCCCTCCGTGTTGCCTTTTTCTGCCTCTTCCTCCCTCCAGGGGGTGCCTTTCAGCTTTATCGTCCCTGCGAGGGGCCAGGGTGCCACGTGTCGGTTACTGCTTGGTCCCTGGTCCCTTTATCTGCCCCGGCCTTTGGGGCCTGGCACCGCCATGAACAGCCAGTTCCTGACTGTGCTGCTGCTGCTCCTGCTGGGGGTCTCAGGCCCATGGGGACAGGGACAGGATCCACAGGGTCCCTTGGAGGACCTCCCAGAGGAGCCACCTGGGGAGGAAGTTCCCAAAGAGGAAGGGGTTTTGGTGCTGAGCGGCCGCACCCTGAGCCTGGCACTGCAAGAACACCCGGCCCTGCTGGTGGAGTTCTGTGAGTGTCGGGGCGTGGGTGCTGGGGACCACAGGGACCTCTGGGGCTTGAACCCCATACCACTCTGCCTCCTGCACCCTAGGGTTTCCACAAGGGCCACGGGACAGGAAGGCTTGGACGGGGGCGGGGGGTGTAGGCAGGGGTGGTAGTAATATTCATGTCCCAAGGGGAGAAAACCCATGCCCTCCTGCTTGGACAACTGTGGCTGCATGGTGATGTCATTACCTTGGGGGCCACTTTTCCACACTGCTGGTAGCGTGGTCTTTCTGCACACTGTGCAAAGGCACAGCGTCCAGGCTGTGTGGCCATGTAGGTCCTTGTGGTGTGTATCTTTTCTGTTTTTGTTTTTTCAGTACTGGAGATTGAACTCAGGACCTTTACACTGAGCTAGGCTTTTTTTATTTTGAGACTTAAGTGGCTAAATTGCCCAGACTGGGCTCCCACTTGGCAATCCTTTTGCCTCAGCCTCTCAGAGTGCTGGGATTACAGGTGTGCACCTCCACACCTGGCTCTCTGGCACATATTTTCATATTACTTTACAAATGTCAAAGTCGTTCCTGGCTGGCAGGCCTTACAGGTAGCCACGTGTGTCCCAGGAGGCCCAGAGAGGACGCTCCTCAAACTCTCCCAAACCTTGCTGTCCCTTGTGCCCTGAGTTGGGGCCTTGAGACTCTGCCATTCTGGTGCCCAGGCTCAGCTGTGGTTGAGTCAGGGTGGTCCCTGAAGGAAGATGTGAGCAGGACAGGCTTGCTCCTCATTAGACCTGTGGGGAGGGACTGCGGCTGGGGCCCTAGAGGCCTGGCGCACTCATGGCCTCATCCTCTAGACGCCCCGTGGTGTGGGCACTGCCAGGCGCTGGCCCCTGAGTACAGCAAAGCAGCCACTCTGCTGGCGGGCGAGTCAGCCCCAGTTACACTGGCCAAGGTGGATGGGCCTGCAGAGCCGGAGCTCATGAAGGAGTTTGGTGTGACGGAGTACCCTACCCTCAAGTTCTTCCGAGATGGGAACCGCACACACCCTGAGGAGTACACAGGTGTGGGCGGGCCTGGTGTGGCCTAGGGTGGGGCATGGTGGAGGAGGATTGGGCCTAGGCTGAGGGGACTCTCCACAGGACCCCGGGAAGCTGAGGGCATCGCTGAATGGCTGAGGCGGCGGGTGGGGCCCAGTGCCGCACACCTCAAGGATGAAGAGGGCACCCAGGCATTGATGGATGCCTCAGACGTGATGGTCATTGGCTTCTTCCAGGTAAGAAGGGGCGTGTGGGCCGGGCCTTGGAGCAGTACTGGTGGCACCCACCCACCCACCTCACAGGGCCGGGTCTGCAGGACCTTCAGGATGAGGATGTGGCCACCTTCCTGGCCCTGGCCCGGGATGCTATAGATATAACCTTTGGCCTCACTGACCAACCACAGCTCTTCCAGAAGTTTGGCCTCACCAAGGACACAGTGGTCCTCTTCAAGAAGGTGGGTCAGGGCTGAGGTGGGGGCCAGGGTCAGGGCTGTGGCTCTTGCTGACCCTCCCAGCATCCAGTTTGATGAAGGGCGGGCTGACTTTCCAATGGATGAGGAGACTGGCCTGGACCTGGGGGATCTGTCTCGCTTCCTGGTCATACACAGCATGCACCTGGTCACAGAGTTCAACCAGAAGGTAAGTTTAGCTACAGGTACAGGTGGGGCCGGTGGGAAGGGCCCATGGGAGTTGGGAGCCCCTGCAGAGGTGTGTGGGTAGGGGTTGGGAGTCACAAGACCCCACCCTGCAGACATCCCAGAAGATCTATGCTGCCCGGATACTCAACCACCTGCTGCTGTTTGTGAACCAGACACTGGCCCCACACCGGGAGCTGCTGGCCAGTTTCAGGGAGGCGGCTCCCCCCTTCCGGGGGCGGGTAGGTACTGGGGGGCCAGGAAGGAGGGGCCACTGGGCACTGGGACCTGCAACATGGGTTCCCTGCTGGCAGGTTCTGTTTGTGGTGGTGGATGTGGCTGCCGACAATGACCACGTGCTGCAGTACTTTGGTCTCAAGGCCGAGGAGGCCCCCACCCTGCGCTTGGTCAACATTGAGACCACCAGGAAGTACGCACCCACAGACGGGGGGCCTGTCACTGCAGCTTCTGTGGCTGCCTTCTGCCACTTGGTCCTAGGCGGTGAAGTCAAGGTGTGCGCATGATGTTCCACCCAGGGGTAGGGGAGGGAGGGGCACAGTGCTCTAGGAGCCTGACCCTACAGAGCCCCCAGTGAAGCCCCGCCTTCCTCCAGCCCTACCTGCTAAGCCAGGAGCTTCCCCCTGACTGGGACCAGCGGCCTGTTAAGATCCTTGTGGGCAAGAATTTTGAGCAGGTGGCTTTTGATGAAACCAAGAATGTGTTTGTGAAGTTCTGTGAGTGCCAAGGGCAGAGGGCAGGGGGTGGGGCCGGGAGGATGTGGTTGGCCAAGCCTGACACCCCCTGCAGATGCCCCATGGTGCAGCCATTGTAAGGAGATGGCCCCAGCCTGGGAGGCGCTGGCTGAGAGGTACAAAGACCACGAGGACATCGTCATTGCTGAGCTGGATGCCACAGCCAATGAGCTGGAGGCCTTTGCAGTGCACGGCTATCCTACTCTCAAGTACTTCCCGGCGGGGCCGGGTCGGAAGGTGAGGCCCACCCAGGCACGCCACCTATGACTGACTGGTCAGGCTGTGGCCTAGGGATTGCTGAGGCTGCCAGGCCTCCTATTTCTCCTCAGGTGATTGAATATAAAAGAGCCAGAGATCTAGAGACGTTCTCCAAGTTCTTGGACGCTGGGGGCGAGCTGCCTGTGGAAGAGCCCATGGAGAAGCCTGAGACTCCTTTCCCGGTGGGTGCCTGGGACACGTCCTCAGGCAGGGTGGGCTGGGACAGAGCCTTGAGCTGAGCCTCTGACCTTCTTAGGAGCCACCAGCCAACTCTACCCCGGGGACCAAGGAGGAGCTGTAGCCACCCTAAAGCATCTCCCAGAAGTTTTGGGGCACTCACTGGAGAGAGCTATGTGCTGTGAATAAAGGAAAGTTGGTCCTACACTCTGTGTGGTTCCTGAGCAAGGCTGCAGCCTGGCCCTGTCTCAGCCACCTAGGGCTCTTCCCTGTTGGATGCGCTCCAGGTGGGCAGGAAGGAGGCCCTGGAGTGCAGCTGTGACTCTGCCTTCTCTGCCACCTCTGCCACCCACAGGATCCGCCCCCACCCCACTATGCTCTCCTTTCATTCCAGGTTCAATGGCGCACCCACCAGCCAGGCCCCACTGGCCACAGAGAGGTGCATCCCACAGCCTAAGCAAGTTCAAAAACTGTTTTATTTGTTATCCAAGTACCTTTGAAAAGATAATTGTACAAGTCATGGCATGAAAAATGGGCTTTGGGCAGCCCCCTGCTGGCCCTGGCCTGAGAAATGTACATATTTACATGGGCCCTTAGAAAGCAGGGACCCGGCCCGTTGAGCTGGCAGCTGGACAGGTGAAGGAAGGGCCGAGGCTTCAAGGCCGCTGGCTTCACACAGTGGCAGGCAAGAGACGAGCTGTGTTGAAGGCACTCGGTGACGTGTACAATCTACAGAGGTCTCTGCAGGGCCCCCTGCACCAGGCCTGGGCCCGACTGGGTACAGTGGGTAAGTCCCACAGCATGCAAGGCCTGCAGTAGGGGCTCCAGGCCAGATGCCCTGCTCCGAGGACTCCAAGTATTGCTATGGGGTGGGTGGGGCTCCCACAAGACAGGCGCCTGTGGGACCAGGAGGCGGACCCACCACTCAGACACAGGCAGATGGGGGCACACCTGGGCCTTCCCAGGATCCACGTGACCACGCACAGTATGAGCAGCTGCGCAGCCCTATGCCACCCCCACACAGCAGGCTCTTGGGTACAAGGTCACTGCTGGGCTGACACTGCTGTGTGCTGCAACGTGTGTCCTAGCTGTGGCCACCTGCTGCTCAGTCCACCTTCTCCACCTTGCCAATGATCTTCTCCTCAAAAACAGGCAGCACAGCCTCGTCTTCTCTCACTTCTTCAAACACCACTCCACAGTCAAATTCATCACTCACTTTCTTGAAGTAATATCTGGGGACAGACAAGAGCCACAGAAGGTTAAGCACTGAGGACGGCCAGCCCCTCCCCCGTGCTCAGGGAGGGACAGCTGTCTATGCCTGGGGCCACCGCCCAACCTGTGCATGCTTCTCCCAGGCCCAGGTCAGCCCCGCCTCGTGTGTCTGCTGGACCCACCTTGGGGCTGGGACCATAGCTCACTAGGAAGTGCCTCAAAACCCCTGGCAGCCTTGCCCTGGGTTCTAGGGTGCTGCAGGGGAGGAGTGGCAGCTACATGTGTGCCCCCACTCAGCCAGTGCAGTCACAGGGGATTTTCACAGCCATTCACTGAGCAGAGGACCAACCTGCCATGGGCTGGGCTGAGTTTAGCAGTCTTGGCCCTGTTCAAACATCTGCCCTCTGGCTCTCCTGCAAGGCCCCAGCTGCAGTGGGAAGGCTAGGCACCTGCTGTCAGGTCAAGCCAGCATGCACACGGACCCACCTGTTTGGGACTCAGTTTCCCAACTTTTAAAATGGGGGTCCTGCTGGGCATGGTGGTGCACACCTGTAATCCCAGCACTCAGGAGGCTGAGGCAGGAGAATCGTTGCGAATTCGAGACCAGCCTGGGCTACTAAGTGAGTGCAAGGCCGGCCTGAACTGCATAGTGAGACTCTGTCTCAGAAAGATAAAAAAACAAAAGACAAAACAAAAAGGTGGGGGGGCCCTGACACCACCCACTCCCCACCTGCCCAACTGAGAGAAGTGTCCAGGTGCACATGAAGACTAACAGGGCAAGAAATGGTCCCCTCCCACATGGCCAGCACAGGCACCTCCTGACCCCCTTCTCACCTGTAGCTGCCTTTCTTGGTCAGCAGCTCCTTGAACTGGCCCAGGGTGACTGCGTGGCCCCTCACCAGAGTCCGGTATGGGATGGGCTCCCCACAGAAGTAGTAGGCCACCACGATGCTGTCACATGGCTGGGCACTCCCACCGCCCATCTTCCTCTGTGATTTCATCCTGGGTAGAGAGAGTGGTGTGTGTGTGCTGGGGGGTCAGGCCTAGATTCCACGAGTGCCCCTCCAAGCCTCAGGGTGCCCACAGAGGACAGGGCACCCCAGGGTGACACCTGTCAAGACACAGTGTCCACTGTGCCAACTCTGTGCCACACAGTTAGCTGACTCCCTGGGGCATGTACACTAGGAGCCCCAGGTCTGGCTGGTCAGTGGCACTCTCCACTTGATTGTGTGATGTGGGCACACAGCTTCTCCAGATTGTCAGGCCAAGTTGCTGGCCCACACAGCGCCACCTCCAGAGAGGCTCACCTGCCCATACCCTACTAAGACTGAGACCTAAACTTCTCAAGACATCTGTAAGGGCAGGCATTGCACAACTAGGACTGTGCCCAGGTTTCTGAGTGAATTGCCCACAGGCCACAGCCTACCAGACCCCTAGAGCCAAGTGAGGCCGGCGCTGCCTCATGCCCAGGCTAAGGGACCCTGTCCTGACAGTTTGCATGGCCACTTGGTGTCAGGTGACTGGCAATGTCCTCCTATCCTCCACCTACCCCAGAAGCCACCCCAGGAACCAGGGCCCCGAGTAGGTGGGTATGCCAGAAGCTTTCAGAACCAGCCTCAGGGCAGAAAGGCTACACAGGGGCTCATCTCCCTCAGCCCAGGCCCAGTCTCAGGCCCAGTGAGCCACCAGCTGTGTCTGTCTACTTTGCACACCAGGCTGCCAGGCACCTGCTTCCTGGTACCTTCCCCCAGCACTGTATCTTCAGAGCCCCCTTACCCTACAGACCCTCTTCTGCAGGGAGCTGGGGGCCAACTGAGGAGTGCCCCAGGTACAGCATCCTGCTCAACTCTGAAGCACAGGAAGTGGGCAGTCAGCAATGTCCACACCACCCATGCATGGCCATGGCAGGTGGAGGTGGTGGCCTCATTCTTGGCCCTGAGCAGTCCAACCATCCAGATGCTACCGTAAGCGAGCTGTGCGAGCTCCATGGTGCCACTGCAAGGGCATCACGCTGCAGCTCACACCCCATTCAGGACCAGCACTGGCCCGCGAGTCCTGGACTGGCAACCTTGGGAGGCAGCGGCAGAACAAGGGGCAGGCTGTAGTGCCCATGTGTGGACACTGGCCCTCTACCACCATGCCAGACAGCCCTTGTTCCTTGAGGAGACAGGAGGGAATACTAGGGTATCCGAACTTATGTTCCACAAGAGTTGCTCCACCTCAGGACCTGGCTTGGGCCAGGCCAGGCAGGCAGCACTGAGGGACCCTCAGGCGCACGTACTCTGTCTCGGAGAGCTCCAAGTCCGACACGGCTGGCACCACGCTCAGCATTGGCGTGCACGCTGGCCTGACACAGGCACGTCCCCGCTGCATGACCGCCTGCACGTACCTAGGGGACAACCCGCGTCAATGGGGAGGCGCCGTGGCCAGTGCGCTACAGGACCTCCCGCCAAGCTCTCCCACTCTATGAGGTGGATAAGACACCAACCCCTGTTAGGCCTTGGCTGGGGTGACTCCATTTGGCTCAGGTACCCACACTCATTATTCCAAGGTTCCTTGGAACACACTTAAGGGAACTGCTGATCCAGGTGCTAGAAGCTGCCGCTTCTAGGGTGGTTGACTGTTCACCTGGCACAGGGCCTCTTGGAGAACATGTCTGTCTGTGCCCCTCTCTAGGATGGACTTGCTAAGGACAATGTGGATAACAGCTCTGGACGGTGTGGTGACAGCTCCATCCGCATCCTTGGGACCCCATGCTACAACAGAGGTCTGTTCTGAGGTTGCCGCACAGCAGTGCCTTTCCACATGGACCCTATATCTGGGTATGCCATTGGGGATCCAGAACCCTACCTGCCTGGGGGCCTTTGCCCCATGAATCTGGAGCTGCTGATGAGAAGCCTGAGCTCTCCAGATGGACGAATAACCTAGTGACTCCAGGTTTCCGCATGGATGTGCTGAAGCCCACTGCTGAGACCTCACAGAAAACTGTGCCCCAGAATACGCAGTGCAGAGCAGTTTTCGTGGCTCAGCACAGAATGCACCACCACCTGCCCCAAAGGGCCTAAGGGGCCAGTAGGAAGGGCACACGCAAGCCCTGCCCTGACCACATTAGGCCTTGCCCCTCCCCCAGGTCCCACCAATGATGCCCCACTCCAGTGCTCTTGGCCTTCTAGATCACAGGCTCCTGCCAAACATGTGCAGTTTCTTACACAGGGCAGGCAGGACAAGAGCAGAGGTGGGAGATAGCTGGTGGCAAAGTCATCCCTAGATTCCAGTTAACTTTAACCCTTTCTGGCCCCAAACCCTGTGCAGATTGAGCCTGGAGGGGTTTGTGATGACCTTGACTGGCTGGGGACACATGCAGGCCTCTGCTGTGCTGAGCCCAGGAAGGTCCCACATGCTGACACCAGTGCAGCTGACCAGAGCCACACAGTGTGCTGGATTCCAAGAAGTAGGTCAGACTCCAGACCTCAAATGACCCAAGGTGGCTGAGAGCAGCCAGCACCTTCCAAGGGAAACAGCGGATGCTGTGTGCCCAGGCTCCCAGGGCCCAAGTCAGACACCCCACTGAGACCTGGATCTACTTGGGGATTTCCATGAGTCATAAAGTCCAGAAGACTGACCTCAAGGCCCAGACAAGAGGGTAAGAAGCCTCATTCTGGTCTGGACAGAAAAAGCTGCCACCTGGAAGAGGAGGTATGCCAGTGGCCAAGGTTGAGACCCTGAAGGCCAAAGAGGGCAAATGAGGAAGGGCTGGAGCCTGGGATCTGTCCCGGGAATTTTACATCCCATGTATTTCAGCACCTTCCACTTGGCTGCCAACGGAGGCAGTCAAGACACTCTAGGATGGCCACCAAGCTCAGCATGCCCAGAAGCTGCTGACCACCTGACTTTGTAACTGGCTGTTCCCGCCACACTGGGGATTCTGCAGCCTCCCATACAGATCCTGCCATGAGCAGGAGGAACGACTCTCCTTTTCCCCGG